CTTGTGTTCCCTCTCTCGCTGTGTCTCTGTCAAATAAATAAAATCTTTAAAAACATATATGAAATATGTTGGGATAAATCTGACAAAGGATGGGAAAGACCTGTAACACTGAAAACTACAAAATATTGCTAAGACCAAATAAAGACAGTCTAAGCAAATAAGGAGATACACCTTGTTCATGCATCATAAAACTTAATATTGTGAAGATTTTCTTTGCTTCTCAAATTTCATGCAATCATAAAATCCCAGCAAGGTTTTTTTTTGTAGAAATTGAGAAACTAATTATAAAATTCATAGGTAAAGGACCCAGAATAGCCAAAACAACTCTGAATAAGAACAAAATTGGAGGCCTAACTCTACCTGGTTTCAAGAATTATTATGAGGCTAACAGCAATGAGAACAGCATTTTGTACAAATAGAGCAATAAAAGAGAACAGAGTCCAGAAATAAGCCCACACATATGTGGATAATTGGTTTTTGATAAAAGCACAAAGACAATATAATGCAAAAGGATAGCCTTCTAAAGAAATGCTGGAACAACTGGACCACCATAATGTAAAACAACAACAACAAAAAACTTGGAACCATACCTTACACCATATACAAAAATTAAAAATGATCACGAAACTTAAAACCATAAACTTTTAAAAGAAAATAGGAGATGTTTGTCACCTTATGCCTAATTGGGTTAGGCAAAGATTTTTTTTTTTTTTTTTAAGATTTTATTTATTTGAGAGCGAGCACAAGCAGGGGAGGGGCAAAGGGTGAGGGTAAAGCAGACTCCTTGCAAAGCAGTGAGCCCAATGTGGTGCTCGATCCCAGTATCCAAGATCCCAGGTCCCAGGACCCTCGATCATGACCTGAGCTGAAAGCAGATGCTTAACCGACTTAGCCATGCAGGTGACCCCGCAAAGACTTCTTAGATACCATATCAAAAGCACAATCCATAAAGGAACAAATTGATAAATTGTACTTCATCAAAATGAAAAACTTTGGCTCTTTAAAAGACATTATTAAAAGAATAAAGGCAAGAAACAACCTGGGAGAAAATATTTGCAAAGCATATGTCAGATAAAGGACTTGTATCCAGAGCATATATAAAGAACTCTCAAACTCAACAATTAGAAAAAAATGCAAGGAAAAGAAATAGACTAAAGATTTGAACATACACTTCATCAAAGAAGATAACATGAATGGCCAATAAGCAGACGTAAACGGTGTTCATCAAGAGAATGAGACAAACCACAAAGTAGAAAATATTTATAAAGGACGTATCTGATAAAGGACTGTTTTAGAACATTCAGGCGAGCGGCGCCTGGGTGGCTCAGTCGTTAAGCGTCTGCCTTCGGCTCAGGTCATGATCCCAGGGTCCTGGGATCGAGTCCCACATCAGGCTCCTTGCTCAGCAGGAAGCCTGCTTCTCCCTCTCCCACTCCCCCTGCTTGTGTTCCTGCTCTCGCTGTCTCTCTCTCTGTCAAATAAATAAAATCTTAAAAAAAAAAAAAAATTCAGGCGGCTATTACAAAAGCACCATAAATTCGGTGGCTTATAAACAAACATTTATTTCTCACATTTCTGGAGGCTGGGAAGTCCAAGAAAGGTGCTAGCACAGCTAGGGAGCTCTGTGTGGCTGCTTCTGGAAATTAGCTATCAAGCCATGAAAAGACATGAAGGAAATTTAAGTGCATATTACTAAGTGACAGAAATCCATCTGTCAAAGGCTGCACTAATCTCAATCGTGAGGGTTCCAGTCTCATGACTTAATCACCTCCTCAAACCCCCACCTCCCAATACCATCAATAGAGATTAGGATTTCAACAATATGAATTTTGGGGGTACACAAACATTCAGAACAAAGCAGACTCTTTTCTAAAATAAACAACTCAAAATTCAACAATAAGAAAACAACCAACCAGATTTAAGTGGGCCAAAGACCTTAACAGACACTTCAAAAAAGATGTACAGATGGCTAATAAGCATATGAAAAGATGCTCCACATCATATATCATCAGGGAAAGGCAAATTAAAACAATTAGACATCTCTATTAGAATACAAATATCAAAACCCCACCACCACCAAATGCTGGCAAGAATGTGAAACAACAGGAACTCTCATTTGTTGCTGGTGGGAATGCCAAAATGGTACAGCCACATTGGAAGACCATTTGGCTGCCTTTAGTTTACTACACATAGTCTTACCATAAAATCCGTCAATCATGCTCCTTAGTATATAAATTGAAATGAGTTGAAAACTTATGTCCTCACAGAAATCTGCACACGTACGTTGATAGCTTTATTCATAACTGCCAAAACTTGGAAGCCACCAAGATGCCCTTCAGCAGGTGAGTGGATAAACGTCGTATATCCAGACAGTGGGCAATTATTTAGCACTAATGGAAATTAGCTATCAAGCCATGAAAAGACATGAAAGAACTTTAAATGCATATTACTAAGTGACAGAAATCAAACTGTCAAAGGCTGCATATTGTATGATTCCATGTATATGACATTCTGGAAAAGGTAAAACTATAGAGACAGTTTGTTGCCACCGTTTGGGGAGAGAAGGGGAAGGATGGATAGGGAGAACACAGAGGGTTTTTAGGGCAGTGAAACTATTCTGCATGTTACTGTAATGATCGATATTACACATCTGCCAAAACATTACGCATTTGTACATCAAGCCATACCCTCATGTAAACTATAAACTTTGGGTGATAATGATGTGTGAATGTAGGTTCATCAATTATAACAAACGTGACACTCTGGTGTGGGATGTTGATGCTAGGGTAGGGTGTGCATTTGTTGGATCAGGGAGTATATGGGAACCCTCTGTACTTTCCACTCAATTTTGCTGCGAATCTAAAACTTCTCTAAAAAACAGTTTTTTTAAAAGGTGTTTGGTTTCATTAGGCATTAGGGAAATAAATGCAATTAAAACTACAGCGAAAATCTACTACTTGCTTACTAGAATGCTAAAATTAACAAGGCTGGCCAACCAAATGTGGTTGGGTGACTATATGAAGAAATTGGAAGTCTCATATACCATTGGTGGGAATGCAAAATGGTATAGCCATTTTGGAAAAATGTTTGGCAGTTTCTTAAAAAATTAAACATACTCCTACCATATGACCCGAGGAAACTTTTGGGATGATGGATATTATTACTCTCTTGACTTTGGCGATGGTTTTATGGATGTATACATGTCAAAATGTATCAAATGCTACACTTTAAATATATGCAACTTACTGTATACCAATTATACCTCCATAAAGCTGTCTGGAAGAGAGAGCTAACATCCAGCATAGAACCATGGTTTTGGGACAATTATTAATGCTATCTCAATGTGGAAAATGACCAAAGCATTGTAGGAATTCTGATCCCCCATTTAGCAAGAATGGTGTCTACATTTAAGAAATATCTACCTTCACCATAGAAATTTGCTTGAAAATTTTTCAATTATTTTCCAACATGGTCTCTGTGACAATTTCAACTACAGTAATCTGTTTATTTCTAACTGCTGTAATAATTCTCCTTCCTTTCTATGTTGCTGTTTACTGTGTCCTTGAACACCCAGCTAGTCTCCACAGTTTTCCTGGCCCCAACCCTTTCCATGTACCTCAGGGATTAACTCTGAGTTCAGTGGAAGTGAAGGATGGGAAGGGGCTGGTAGCGTGTTTTGTTTTTTTTTTAAGATTTTATTTATTTATTTGAGAGAGAGAGAATGAGAGAGGGAGCACATGAGAGGGGGGAGGGTCAGAGGGAGAAGCAGACTCCCTGCCGAGCAGGGAGCGCGATGCGGGACTCGATCCCGGGACTCCAGGATCATGACCTGAGCCGAAGGCAGTCGCTTAACCAACTGAGCCACCCAGGCGCCCTGGTAGCGTGCTTTTATCAGAAGACCAACCAGCCTAGAAAAAGATCCTTTGGAGCTGGACTAAACTCATTATCAAGATTCTGAACCAAAAACCATTCCCAGATCACAGTAACACTGGACGCTGATGCTGTCCTCTCTTCTGTTCATGATTACAACTGGGTTTTGACACTAGACCAAGTTCCCAAATAGAAGACTGAGGAAGGAACGTAAGAGTACTCAAGAAAACAATTATATGTAACTTACACCTGTTAAACTGTGAAGGCCTGGGCTGCTTCTGGGCCCTGATGGCAATCAAGCAGTAATGAGCGTCCTGTTAGCACACACTAGTAGTATCAGTAAATTACCAGTTGATTAGCCTAATAAAAAAAGAGAAATTGTTTAGTTCTTTAGGTCCTTACCTAGCTTATGCCTTCTCTGGGGCTTAGTAGAAAAATCAAAATTCTGTATTTGGGGTCAGTCTTACCTCCATTCTTCCTGCTGTGCATGAATAAAGCAAATATTAGCAACACATCTAGGCTAGTAAGCATCGTGGGTGTCTCAGAGTTGATTGTGCTCTGGGACCTTTGGCTGTCAGGCCCAGGCCAACAAATTCACTCCCCCCGCCCCCACTCCCAGGGCTAATATTATTGCTTCCAGACTCCTCTTTCCTCCCGCTCTTGAGCTAAGGTGGTCGGGGGCTGTGGATGACTGGGTTCTTTCCAGGTGACAAGGCAGACCAGGTTGGGGAGCACGGACTAGTGGGGAGCACTGTTCAGGTGCTCAGTGGGCAGTGCTGCGAGCTAGAAGGAGACCGAAGTTGGGATTCAATTTCAGTTTGCAGGAGAGGGAACAGGGGCTTATGGAGGATCCAGTTCCAGCTAACCAGGTTCCTGACACACTGTGATTCGCCTGAATGGGTGTCGTCGGCACAGGGAAAGGAGCGCGTTTGCGTAAGGGGTTCAGAATTTGGACCGCGACAGACCTGGTTCGAACAGAGCTCTGCTACTCGGCGGCCGTGAGACCTCGTCCACACGTCCTCCCGGACCCTCGGTTTCCTCCTCGCTCGGCCGCCCGCGGGACCGGGCGTCCACGCGCCGCTCCGCACGCCTGCGGCCGGCGCGCGGGAAGCCCCGAGGCCGGCAAGGGCGCCGCGCCGACGCCCCCTGCCGGCCGGCCGGCTCCCCGCGCTCGCCGGCCCGCGCCCAACGCTCGGCTCCTAGGCGCCCGCGGCCGGATGCCCTGCGTCCGCACGGTCCTCGGCCTCCTGGCGGCTCTGGCGGCCTGCGGCGCCGTCGCCTTCCTCGGTTACTGCGTTTACTTCGACCGGAAGCGGCGTGGCGACCCCGCGTTCAGGCGCTGCCTGCGGGACAGTGAGTGCGACGGCGGCGCGGCCGGGCGGGCGGCGGGCCGGCCCACGGGGCGAGGGCTCGGCGGAGCGCACGCGGGCGTCGGGGTGGCTCCGAGCAGCACGTGCCATGTTGTGTTTGCAGAAAGAAGAGCCCAGCAGCAGAAGGCTGCGGGACGGGGCGCCCAGGTGAAGTGCTTAGCGACGCCGGGGTGGCGTTATAGTGAGCAACCTCCGGGCGCGGGCCGCTTCTGGCTGTGCTCGGGGCCCCTGGCTGGTCTCTGAGCAGGCATCTCCCGCGGCCTCTGCCCCCCGCGCCCCGCCCCGCTTACATGAGGCCTAGGCGTCGTTTTTATTGTGCGGTTACAAAAGAAAGGGAAGGAAGGAAGAACCCCTTGGAATTATGAAATGGCCCATCCCATTTTAAAAAGAGAATTCTTGGCGACAGCAAACGCAAACACACAAGCCCTCCAGCTTTAACAGACTGAAGCTGAAGTGACTGGCAGGGGAGTTGATAATTTTGGGTCAAGGCTTGTCCACTCTGCCTACCTTTAAAGACCAGCCCCGGGCATGATACCAGTGATGACGCCGTCCTGTGACTCTGGTCACCTTCCGGAACCAGGCTGAAGCAAACCACAGCATGCTTCTGAACGTCACCAACTGCCCTGCCAGTCCCTCGCCATGCCCTTTGCCAAACCGAAAAACACTGTTAAAAGCCCAGGCAAGAAAATAATTTTGCAACCTACAAAACTAGGTGTGTTGTAGTTAATTACAGTAGGATTTCTGGTATGTGTACTTAGGAAGCTGGGTAAAATACAGATGAGTTATTACAAGCATCTCAACCCAATTTCAATATGCCATGGATTTTTTTTTAATTGCCTGAAATTGTAATTCCATCTTAAGTTGTTGAACTATTATAAAGAAAATTGTGTTTATCATACCTTGGATTTAGAGATTAGGTTCAAGATATGCCTTCTTAAATAAAAATTAAATAATTTTGATCAGTAACCCTATACCTTACATTCATTACTCATTGTTAAATATTTTGTGAATCTTTTAGTTGTGGGATCCAGCAAAGAATGAAAAATTGCAAGAACTTTTTCTGCAAGAGGTACAAATGGGACAACTTTGGTTATCTAGAGGTGAGAATGTAAATACTCTTTTGTAAGCACATATATATGTTGAAAAAATTTTAGATTGGTATTTATATGTCAAAAAACTTGGGGCACCTGGGTGGCTCAGTCAGTTAAGCCTCCCGACTCTTGATTTTGGCTCAGGTACGTTCTCAGGGTTGTGAGATTGAGCCCCATTTCGGGCTCCAAGCTCAGTCTGGAGCCTGCTTAAAATTCTCTCTGCCTCTGCCCCTACTCACCCCCACTCTCTCTCTCAAAGAAAAAACCCAAAACCTAGCTATATGTGTTAACCAACTTGCTTTAGTTAAAGAGATTTGCACTTGGTCACACTGTTCATCTCACCATATTATACATAGCATTCAGGTTTCTGTGGCAGTCTTTGGAATGAGCAGATGAAGAAGCAAAGCCAAATACAGTTAACACTTCATTTATTGTCAGGTAAAATTCTAAGTAAATGACTTTTCCAAATGACCCAAATGTTTTATGAATTAAAACTTAAAAAAATTTGAACTGTTTGGGCGCCTGAGTGGCTCAGTTGGTTAAGCGACTGCCTTCGGCTCAGGTCATGATCCTGGAGTCCCGGGATCGAGTCCCATGTCGGGCTCCTTGCTCAGCAGGGGGTCTGCTTCTCCCTCTGACCCTCCCCCCTCTCATGTGCTCTCTCTCTCTCATTCTCTCTCTCTCAAATAAATAAAATCTTTAAAAAAAAAATTGAACTGTTTTATAAAAAATCTCCTGCATTCTTATTCTTAACACAATAATTACTTATTTTGATGATGAAATCATTATAAATGACCATTCTTGTACTGTGTCTAACGTAGTGATGTATGTAGGGGCTACCTTGGACTTAATGGCCATCAACTGTATTTTGAATTATAATTTATCCCCACCGAATTCCACATAGTTTTTTTTTTTTTTTTTTAAGATTTTATTTATTTGACAGAGAGAGACACAGCGAGAGAGGGGAACACAAGCAGGGGGAGTGGGAGAGGGAGAAGCAGGCTCCTGGCTGAGCAGGGAGCCCGATGCGGGGCTCGATCCCAGGACCCTGGAATCATGACCTGAGCCGAAGGCAGACGCTCAACGACGGAGCCACCCAGGTGCCCCTCCACATAGTTTTGAGAAGGCTTCACAATATCGTTAGATAAAATAATGGTAGATCATATAAATATTTTGTAAATGCTGTATGTAACAATCATGTCTTTGTTCTGGTATTAAACCCTGGAAAGAAAAATAATTTGTTTTCAGGCTTCTTTTGTAAGGGATGAATGATGTTGCTGGATAAATGAGCATGATACCCGTTTATGTATCTTTTTTTCAAGTGTTTCAAATTTCCTCCCATCATAGTGCCTGTAGCTGTTTTTGCTCTTTTGTCTTTTTTGAAAAGGTTTTTTCACCCTGCACTTAAGAGGTAGCATCCTCCAGAATTGATGAAAAACAAAGTCAAGATCCTGGACAACTCATAGCAATACCCAAGATTTTTACTTTAATTCAGTGGCTTAATACCATGATAAAGGTTTTGAGAAATGAAAAAAAGTCATTGCACATTAATCATTATAATTTTAAGTTTTAGTGTTTTATTCAATACTAATCTTTTCTTCTGGGAAATTTTATAAATGGGCTAAATATATCTTAAAGATGACAAAATGGGGGGCGCCTGGGTGGCCCAGGGTCCTGGGATCGAGCCCCGCATCAGGCTCCCTGCTTGGCTGGGAGCCGGCTTCTCCCTCTCCCCCCCCGCCCCCCCACCCCCCACTGTGATCTCTCTCTCTCTCTGTCAAATACAATCTTTAAAAAAAAAATGACAAAATGAATAGTTGGAAATGACTTAAATGATATAAACAGGAGTGATTTTATACAGGGTGGTAAAGCATAAACTTTAAGGACCTTCATTTGCTCAAACTTCTTTGAAGGTTCTGGGAAGAGTCCTAGCAATTTTGTATTCATAATTTTATATTCTTTTTCTTAAAAGGGCCCCCCAGATGCCTGGCTGGCTCAATACAGCATGTGAGTCGATCTCGGGGTTGTAAGTTTGAGCCCACATTGCAGATAGAGATTACTTAAAAAAAATAAAATCTTAAAAAAAAAAGTGCCCCCCCATTATATAAATATAAACTAGACGCCTCACAGGGTGCCTGGGTAGCTCATCAGCTGAGGTCTGAATCTTGGTTTCCCCTCGGGTCATGATCTCAGCATCCTGAGCCTAACCAGGAGTAGAGCTCTGCGCTCAGCACAGAGTCTGCTTCAATTCTCTCTCAATCAATAAAATCTTTTTTTAAGATTTTTTATTTATTTATTTGACAGGGAGAGACAGCGAGAGAGGAACACAAGCAGGGGGAGTGGAGAGGGAGAAGCAGGCTTACTGCGGAGCAGGGAGCCCGATGCGGGGCTCGATCCCAGGATCCTGGGATCATGACCTGAGCCAAAGGCAGACGCTTAACAACTGAGCCACCCAGGCGCCCCTCAATGAATAAAATCTTGAAAAAAAAAAAAAACTGGGGGCCTCACAGAATTATTTCCTCTGGATTAATTCCTAAATGTGGATACTGCTTGGACATAAGGGCAATTAAAATAGCAAACCCTTTTGGCTTTAACATTTTTTGAATTGGGATAGTATAAATATGGAGAGAAAAAGTAGGAATTATAAATAAACAATTACATGATATATTCTTATTCACTTTATTTTTTTTTTAAAGATTTTATTTATTTGAGAGAGAGAGAGAGTGAGAAAGGGAACACAAGCAGGGGGAGTGGGAGAGGGAGAAGCAGGCTTCCCGAAGAGCAGGGAACCTGATGCAGGGCTCCATCCCAGGACCCGGGGATCATGACCAGACTGGAAGGCAGACACTTAACGACTAAGCCACCCAGGTGCCCCTATTCTTTTTTTTTTTTTTAGTTTTATTTATTTATTTGACAGAGAGAGACAGCCAGAGAGGGAACACAAGCAGAGGCAGAGGGAGAGGGAGAGGGAGAAGCAGGCTTCCCGCTGAGCAGGGAGCCCGATGCGGGGCTCGATACCAGGACCCTGGGATCATGACCTGAGCCGAAGGCAGATGCTTAACGACTGAGCCACCCAGGCACCCCGATGCCCCTATTCTTATTCACTTTGTTTAAAAGCTTTCATGTAATAGTTCAGTTAGACTTAGAGGTGAAGATGTTACAAATACTGAGACTATTAAAACAAAAATTGCAAACTTGGTTTTTAAATTTTTTACCTCTGGAGCGCCTGGATGGCTCAGTTGGTCTGTCTTCAGCTCTGGTCTGTCTTCAGCTCAGGTCTGTCTTTGGCTCAGGTCATGATCCCAGGGTCCTGGGATGGAGCCCCGAATCCGGCTCCTTGTTTGGGGGGGGTCGTCTTCTCCCTCTCCCTCTGCTCCTCCTCCCTGCTTGTGTTCTCTCTAATAAATAAAATCTTAAAAAATTAAACTTTACCTCTTAAGGGTGATTAATTAGCTCTTTAAGGGTTATGTATGCCCATATTTTACTTAATGGAGTTCTCATCTTGGTTGCTTATTTAAATCCCCACCAAACCCCAAACCAATTAAATCAGAATCTCTGGGATGGGACCCAGGTGTCAGTATTTTTTAAAACTCTAGGTTATTACAATACACTGTTTGAGAACTAGTGTTCTAATGCAATAATTTTTCACCTAGTTTTCTGTAATCCTTTTAATTTTCTCCACTCCTCTCTGCCACACCCCCAATTTTCATTACTTTGCTGTCAAATAGTATAGTCCCATAGCCATCTCAATTGTGGTTATGTCTACATAGGACCATAGAGCCAATAATTTTGATTGAAATTTCTGATTAGCTGATTTGATTGAATTTATTGGTTGGTTGACTTGATCAAATTGATTATTGTTTTTGTGTCACATTAACTCTATCATCCTGAGAGGAGTCACTATTTTTTAAAAATCATTTATTTATTTGAGAGACAACAGGAAAGCATGAGCAGTGGGGAGGGTCAGAAGGAGCAGCAGACCCCCCCACTGAGCAGGGAGCCCGATACGCAACTCAATCCCAGGACCCTGAGATCTTGACGTGAGCTGAAGGCAGACGCTTAACCAACTGAGCCACCCAGGTGCCCTGACAGGAGGCACTATGTTATCTTTCTTTAAAAGGTTTAATACGACCGAAGTATTTTGACCTTATGTGTCATCTCCATAAAGCTGTAATTTTATTAATTTAAAATAAACCTTTTAGGGCCACCTGGGTGGCTCAGTTGGTTGAGTGACTCTTGGTTTCAGCTCAGGTCATGATCTCAGGGTAGTGGGTTGGAGTCCTGCTCCGTGCTCAGCGGGGAGTCCGCTTGAGATTCTCTCCCTCTGCCCCCTACCCCCTGGCTTGTGCTCTCTCTCTAAAATAAATAAATCTTTAATAAAATAAACCTTTTAGTGAAACACTAGCACAGTATTTCATCTAAGAAATATCCTTCTGATGGTTTTTCAGTTTACACTTAATACAAATCTGGGAAGCAATATTTTCTGCCCTTCATGCACTTTTCTCTTCAGATGACCACGTATTTCAACCAATAAATGGGAAATTATGTAACACCTGAAGAGGCAGCACACTGTGGTCTCAAGGTTCAGAAAATTAAGTTCAATTACTAATTTTGGCATTAATTAGTTCTGAAAATTTAAATCATTTCACTGATCTTTGCCTCAGTTTCCTGGAATGAAGTAGTGAGACTAAGTGATTCCATGTTAAAATTTAAACAGAAATTCTATGATTAATTTCCATACTACATAAATTTTCATTCTTTATAGCCAATCATCCTAAAATTCATCTTAAAACTACTTAGAAATCAAAGTTCATAAATATCTTTTCTTCCCCTAGCTATGTAATTCGTGTTACACTAAACCGTTTCAAACTCTTTGGTAATACAATCTATTTTTTTAAAGTCTCGTTTAGCCAGAACATCAGGTGTTTCCTTTATATTTCAACAATCCCACATGTAGAGTTAAAGATAATCTATCTCCTATCAGTAACAGCAGAAAACAATCTTTAAAATAAACACTCAATACCCCACTCTTGCGAACCTACATTGTAGAACATGAGTATTTCTAAAGCAAAAGTGCACTTTTTAATAGTAATTTGGGTCACAAAATTATTCATCTTGCAGCTTGATCACAGTGAATCTAATTGGCAGTTCAACATTTTCCCATTATAGTATTTACTCCTTTTAAGACTTGTTTAAGTAGTCTGTAGTTTGATATGCTTTTTTTAATTTCAATACTTGGTGCTTTCTTGGTAATTTGTGGAATGTTTATTTGGAAGAATGTTAACATTTTGCTTTAAACCTTATCAATCTGTTTCAGGAGAGCATCAGTTGGGGGTTGAACATCTCAGCAATGCCCTTTTAGTGTGTGGACAACCACAGGAACTTCTGAAGGTTTTCAAACTCACACTCCCTCCTCAGGTATTTGAGATGCTGTTACACAAAATTCCCCTTATTTGCCAGGTGAGCACATACTTGTCTTTGCTAAATGTAAATAACCAGTAAATAACAGAAATAACCATGTTAGGCTTGATTACGTAAAAATAGCAAAGTTTGTGTGTGGATGGGAGCTTTAAATAAGTAAAATTTCTGAATTTTTGGTTGCTTTTCTTGCCTTATGATGAAACAAGCTTATTTTTCATGTTCCTTTAACTACAGTGAATTGTATATTTTGTTGAGTCTTATAGATGTTTCAACATTTCCACTTTAAAGGTAGCACTGTTAATATTTTGTCTTTGTACCTTCAAAGCCCTAATGATTACTGACTGTAATGTCAACAGAGGCCTCTAAGTTAAATGGTATTGTTAGTTAAATGATGCAATAGCTTAAAAATTAGATGTAATACAGAAAACCATAATTTATCAAAGCAGAATAATACTTTTGGCTTCAAATATGACAAAACATAGAAATCACTTTGGTAATGGAAACATATAGGCTAACTTAAATTAGTGTTCTCTTAAGTGCAAGTTTAGATTGGTACCAAATGAAATCCACTCAGAAGCCAATTTACTAGTGGGTATTAGTCTACTTAACATTTACCAAATTTCTTGGTATATTTATGTATCAACTAGAATTCCCTGCAGATGCTTGGATTTGTTTTAGGATTCATTTAGCCATAAGACACTACTTTAACTTCAGTTCACTTTTTATTGCACTGATCACACATCATGGATGAGAATACACTGTGTAATGTTGGACTGAGAATCATTCATGTTGGACTCAGCTTTTGAACAAAACACAAAACACAGTCTCCACTAGAGCATACTAGTCAACTCTTACATATTCACAAGGTAGTCTCAGATGGAATGTTTCCTGTAGACATATGAAAAATATGGCTAAGATACGAATGTATAATGCCTACCCTGACACAAGAAGGGAGGCAAGAAACGATCGTGCGTTGAAATGATTAGCAAGTAACTATTTTATGTATTTACCAGCAATTTGAGGCAGACATGAATGAACAGGAATACTTGGAGGACGATCGTGACTGAAAAACATTTCAACGTATCCACAGTCCAGTCAGAATACTATGGTACTCTATATAGTATAAACAACTGCCCAGTGATATTTCCATTTATTTTACTTTTAGTAATAAAAAATTGTTTCTATCTCATACATGATTGAACACATATTTTGCTTTAAAATTAACAGTCACAATTGAAGAAACAATGGTTTATTTTTCTAATGAAATTACCAAGCTGCTGAATCTTAAGGCCTCAACAAATGTTGCATCTTATTATTTTCATTGAACAATAAGACCTCCTATTTTGATTATTCTCAGTAAATAGCAATTTTGTTTCTCCAGTTGTTTCCATTTGCCAAAGTTATGACAGAGAGTTTAATATGGTGGCTACTGCTTTCAGGGGATTCTATCAGATGAATCCTCATTTCCATCACAACAGCTGCTGGCAATCTTTCATCAAAAGTCCATCCATTAGGACTTCTCTATCGTGGTTGGCCAAGAAGTCCTGCTTTGGCTGCCAGGGCTTCATTCTGCTGAATATGATATTCCTGAAATCTCATGGATATTCTTTGTGTCATTTTTAAATATTTCTGTAAGCAATGTTCGGAACAGGTGGTCTAGAAATAAAAAGAGAAGATCCAAGAGGCAACACAGAAATATTAATTTTTAAAAAGTGCACGTACTCTAAATGAACAACCAGTGGGTGCTTTTCTTTTCTTTCAATAGATGAGAACTAAATGGTATGAATGAGTAGCAAGTCCATATAGCTTTCAATTGTTAATAGTTTTATCCATTTACAAGAATTAATATATACTGAATGCCTACCAGTTTATAAGCACTAAAAACAATGGTATATCCCTGACTTTTCCATCCCTCATTCTGATTGTTAAAACATAGGCCCAGGAGTAAGTTTGTTCCTTTTTAATGAGAAACTCCATTCTGCACATTCTTAAATTTCAACATTTCTTTTTAACAAGAAGAATACTATACTTAGCATTTTTCAAGCTTTGTCATTTATTTAACAAGGACTTGTTGATTGCTGGTTATATGTTCTTGGCATGAATGTTGATCAACATCTTACACTGGAGGAAGTTTATGTCACTTTTAGCCAATATATAAATGTTTTGATGAGGATATTAAAAATTAAGAGATCTCATAGGATTGAGTTTTCAGAGTCCACCTATGCAATATGAGCCGCCATATTCAAGCTCTGCTTTTTCCAAAATTAACTTGAGTTGTCAGGGTCAGATAGAAGAGCCATATCAAGTTTCTCTAGCCAGGCCATCTTGACTGAAAGCTAATTAGTAAGAATCTTTCTTTGCTATGGAACAGTAATTCAGCAAGCCCTAGGCATCTTATAAAAAAAAAAAAAATCTGCCATGCTACATTATATATGACAGGCTGTCATATTAAATTTGTGATCATTAACTTCAATGCCATGGGTCCCTGACTGCTTCAGTTCCTCTGAGCAGTGGAACATATTAAGTAACCCAAATTCCTGTAGCAACTAGGAACAAGGGAAATGGTTAGAGGCATCCCATTTCTATTGTTTATGACAGGTTTAGAGAATTTTTAGTGGGCAACACTTTTCATACCTCTTCAGGTTTTACTTCTCTTGTTGTGAAGTCTTTAACGCAATCCAAAAAGCAGGTTTCTGTAAGTTTATTGTAGGTTCCAAGAAATTCCTTAAACTACGAACAAATCAGAACATTCTTTAATATTTGGTTTTTTAAAGCAAAGATGTTTTGAAACTTTAATTACTGATGTTTTGTATTTGGGGAAAATACCCTGTAATACTTGAAATCAACAGTTCTTTCACTAACTCAAATGGGCATAATATGACCTGCATGGTATGATCTACAAAATATAGTCCAATTTTCTAGTTGAATATTTATTCATTCCTGGATATCTGAAAAATAAATATTTCATATCATTTAAAATCCATTTTTGGAAATGAAATATGAAGTTATTTTGTGGGATCACTGACTGACATGGTTGTACCCAGTTAGCCCTAAATTTTTTGCAAAATTCTTTTTTGTTAATTATAATACCTTACCTGTTTTATCTGATCAGATTCTGGTATTTGTGCAGCCATATTCTATTGGTATGTTTATTAGTCACCTGATTTAAAAATTAAGAAAAAGTTTGTCAGTCTCTGAACAAATATTTTTATTTATTTATTTATTTATTTTTTTTTAAAGATTTTATTTATTTATTTGACAGAGAGAGACCAGCGAGAGAGGGAACACAAGCAGGGGGAGTGGGAGAGGGAGAAGCAGGCTTCCTGCGGAGCAGAGAGCCCGATGCGGGGCTTGATCCCAGGACCCCGAGATCATGACCTGAGCCAAAGGCAGACGCTTAACAGTCGACTGAGCCACCCAGGCGCCCCTGAACAAATATTTTTAGGCTAGCTAAAAAGTTAGGTAATTAAAACAGGAAGAGTTTATGAAAATAAATGAAACAAAATTTACCTGAAATTACTGTTTTTATTTTATAAATTTCTAATGGAGTATATAATTATATTCCCCTCTCCACAATCCCCTAGGTCATTAATGGCAATGAAGAACACTACAGTTTACAGAATTAGATTTTTTAATGCTGGCTATAGGCTCCCAAGGCCCCCTCTAACTAAATCTCCAGTTTTAAGACAGCTTGTTCTATTACCTTGCAAGGTTACTTGTTAAAGCCTCGTTCCTAGTAAGGTTTTAAGGGAAACCAAGAGATCTCTGGTGTCTTCCTGCAAGTACTTAACTATTTTAATGTAACTTTGACCTGTGATAATAATGATTCTTTTACTATCTCTACATAAATACAAAGTTTCTATTAATTGTTAATAAACACCATCCACGTGGGGCGCCTGGGTGGCTCAGTTGGTTAAACTCAGACTTGTGATTTCGGCTCAGGTCATGATCACATGGGTTGTGGGATCAAGCCCCATGTGGAGCTCCATGCTCAGTGGGGAGTCTGCTTAAGATGCTCTCTCCCTCTGCCCCTCACTATCCCCCCCCGCTCCCACACTCTCAAAAAAAAATCATAAGACATTAATAATACAGTACTGTAAAAAATCTGCATATAAGTGGACCTATGTAGTTCAAATCTGTCTTGTTGTTCAAGGGTCAACTGCATATGTTTTTACCATATAAGCTACCTGAAAAATACCATCAATTAACTGAAGGTCACAATTTTTCAAGTACTGCTGTGCTATTATAAAATACCACTAACCAGTCAAAGAGAAGACTCTATATTATACAATGCAGTTTAGGACTTGTGCTTCTGGGAAGATGGAGCAAGAGATGTGTTTTTCCTTATTCTTCAACCTAAGTACAACTAAAAATACTGGACATGACATAAAACAAACATAAGACTTTAAAAAGGTGGAGAGAATAAAGTATATTGGCCAGGGCCCTTGGGACCTGAGAAACAAAACAGTGGGGAATTGCTCTCTTTTTTGTCTCCTCTATCACAGAGTTGGAGCTGAAGAAGCCAGCAATCTGCAAATGCCAATGGGCACAGTCAAAACCCCCCATCTCCCCAAAGCTGGCCCTATCTAGCCAAAGGGCCAGGAAAGGGGAAGCCTATAAGATAGAAAACTTTTAAACAATAACTGTGTACTCCAGGCAAACAAAAACACTGGCCTGTATCCCCCATCCACCCATATCAACATAAGCCAAGTTAGGAGCCTAGACTTCCACCCTCACTAAGCTATAATGAAGCACTAAGTCCCTCACACTTCAGAGAAGGGAGATTTGGAAGCAGGGACTTTCATCCTTACTGGGCATTAATGAGGGCTCCCCCAACCCCAACAAGTGTCAGTGGAAACAACATGAGGAGTCTGGACTTCTACCTCAATTGGCAGTAATGGGTTACCCTTCTCTCTTCCCTCTGGGTGGTATCAAAGGAGGCCTCTTTGAGATCCAAGGCTTGCATTACTGTCCTGTGGTAATGAGTTCACATATCCTCTTCTGGTGTCAGTGGGGACCATGTGGGGAGCAGTAATGAGGCACTCCAGTCCCTCTCCAGTCCCTCTCCTACCAATGGAGGCCTGCTGGAGAGCCATAACTCCTACTCTCTTGCCCAGCAGTACTGAGGAGCAGACCAGCCCCATATACCTTAAGTGACAGTGAGGCACCTGGACTTCTATCCTACATCTAGTAGTAATGACGCAGCATGCCCACTCCCTGACTTCTGCTAATGGAGCAGTGGCAAAAGGAGCCAGCTAGAAAAGGTTTAAACAAGATCTAGAGCCTCATAACACAGTATGCAAAATGTAAGTTACAATTAAAAAAAAAAAATCAATCATCATACCAAGAACTAAGAAAATCTCAAACTGGGGGCGCCTGGGTGGCTCAGTCATTAAGCGTCTGCCTTCAGCTCAGGTCATGATCCCAGGGTCCTGGGATCGAGCCCCGCATTGGGCTCCCTGCTCCGCGGGGAAGCCTGCTTCTCCCTCTCCTACTCCCCCTGCTTGTGTTCCCTCTCTCGCTATGTCTCTCTCTGTCAAATAAATAAATAAAATCTTTAAAAAAAAAAATCTCAAACTGAATGAAAAAAGATAATATATATCCAATATTGAGATGACAGATTTCAAATTATCTGACAAAGATTTTAAAATGGCTATTATAAAAAATACAATATGCCTGAAACAAACAAGATATTAGAAGAACCAAATGGAAATCTTAAGAAGTGAAAAATTAAATAACCAAAATAAACTGAACAGATAGAATCAATAGCAGAATGGGGACAGAGGAAGCAATCAGCAAACCAGAAGATAGAAAATAGAATGAACCAATCGGAATATTCAAACAGAAAAATATAATGAAAAAAATGAACAGAGTACCAGGGAACCTATATGATGTAACAAAAGATCAAATATTTGTTTCAACAGAGTCCTGGAAGAAGAGGAGAAAAGAGCAAGGCTGTAAAAGTACTAGAAGAAATAATGGCTGAAAACATCCCAAATTTGGCAAAAGATAAATTTATGCATCTAAGAGAAGCTGAATGAATGTCAAAGAGCATAAACACACAGAAATCTACATCAAGATACAGCACAGCCAAGCATCTGAAAACTAAAGACAAAAATTTTTGAAAGTAGCAAGTGAAAAAGTAACATCTTACCTACAGGGGAAAACAATTAGGATGACATCAGTCAACCCAGAACCTGCATCCAGAAAAAATACACTTCAGGAATGAAGGGGAAATCAAGACATTCTCAAATGAAGGAAACTAGAATTTGTTGCCAGCTGACCTACCTTAAAAAAAGAATTAAAGTTCTAAACAGAAAGGAAATGATAATAGGATACTTGGAACATCAAGAAGGAGGAAAAACAGAATAATAACAAATATGAGTAAGTGCAAAACACTTCTCTTCTAAAGTGTCCTAAACTGTTTGACAGTTGAAGCAAAAATTATAAAACTGTCTAATGTTGTTTTAAATGTATATTAATAAATATGGTAAAGGTAAAGGGAGGTAAGGTTTCTATACTTCACTGAAACTGGTGTTGACACCATTAGACTGTGATAAGGTATATAAATATCATGAAGTAACTAGAGCAGTCACTAAAAAGGATACATAAGGAAACATTCTCAAAAATACTATAGATAAATCAAAATGAAATTCCAAAATATATTCATGTAATCCACAGAAAGGCAAGAAAAACAGAACAGAAAATAAAAAATAGCAAATTTAAGCCCTAATAAACAAATACATTAAATATAATTGGTGTCAATATTCAATTAAGAGAGACTGGTAGAATGGATTAAAAAACATTACCAACTATATGCTGTCTCTAAGAAAATTTTTTTTTTTTTAAGATTTTATTTATTTGACAGAAACACAGTGAGCGAGGGAACACAGCAGGGGGAGAGGGAGAAGCAGGCTTCCCGCTGAGCAGGGAGCCCGATGTGGGGCTCCATCCCAGGACCCTGGGATCATGACCTGAGCTGAAGGCAGATGCTTAACGAACGAGCCACCCAGGCGCCCCTCTCTAAGGAATTTACTTCAAATATAATGATACAGACAGGTTGAAAATAAAAGGATAGAAAAAGATCTACCATGTAACCAATCAAAAGAAAATAGTGGATATATTAATGTCAGACAAAGTAGATGTCAGAGCAAAGGAAATTACAAGACAGAAAGGGACTTAAGGATTAATCTACCAAGAAAACACAGCAATCTTAAATGTATACGCACCAAAGAAGAAAGTTGCAAAATAGAGTAGAACTGAAAGGAGAAAGAAACAGATACAGTTGGGGACTTCAACACTCCTCTCTCAACAATCAATAGAACTAGACAGAAAATTTACAAGGATATAGAAAAAAAATACTATCAACCCACAATCCACATTTATAGAACATTTTACCCAATACCACAGAATACACATTTTTATCAAGTGCCCATGGAACACAGACCAGGATAAACCATGTATCCTGGGCCATAAAACTAGCCTCAACAAATTTAAAAGAATTGAAATTATATAGAATGTGTTCTCTGACCACAATAGAATCAAACTGGAATTCAGTAACGGAAAGATAACAGGAAAATCTCAAACATTTGGGAAATAAACTACTTCTAAATAATCCATGGGTCAAAGAGGAAGTCTCAAAGGAGAAAAAAATCATTGAACTGAATGAAACTGCAAATACAACACATCAAAATTTGTGGGGCACAGCTAAATCAGAGCCGAGAGGAAAACTGACAACTAACTGCATATAATAGAGAAAAGTAAAGGTCTGAAATCCACAATCTAAACTTCCACTTCAAGCACTTAGAAAAAGAACAGAATAAACCCAAAGCATGTAGAAGGAAGAAAATAATAAAGAGCAGAAGTTAATGAAAATGAAAACAAGTGCAACAAAAGTCAATAAAACAACGAGCTGGTTCTTTGAAAAGATTATAACAGACAAGCCTCTAGCAAGAGTAAAAAAAAAAAAAAAGAAATCACATTATCATTATAAGGAATGAAACAGGATACATCACCATAGACCCTGCAGACATCAAAAGCATAATAGCACAACAAACACAGACATAAAAATCCTTGATAAAATAATAGCAAATGTAATTCAGCAATATAGAAAAATAATTATACATCTTGAATAAGTGGAGTTTACTCCAGAGATGCAAGACTGTTTCAGTATTTGGAGAAAAATCATGAGATATCATATCAATTGATGCAGAAACAGCATTTGACAAATTCAACACCCATTCATGATAAAAACTCTTTGAAAATAAGGAAAAGAGAACTTCAACTTGATAATGAGCATCTACAAAAAACCACAGTTAATGGTGAAAGACTAAATATTTTCTTCTAAGATTGTGAGCAAGGCAGGGTATCTGCTCTTACCACTCTTAATATACTGCTGGAAGTTCTACCCAGTGCAGTAAAGCAAGAAAAGGAAGTAAGACATACAGACTGTAAAGGAAGAAAATAAAATTGTTTCTCTTTGCAGATGACATAATTGTGAACTTAGAAAATCCCAAGGGATCTACAAAGAAACTCTCAGAACTAGTAAGTTCAGGAAAGACAGGATACAATATAAGCGTGCAAAAAATCAATTCTATCTCTAAATACTTGGCAGTGAACACTCAGGCAATGAAAAGTACAATACTATTAACAATCACTCAAAAAAAATTTAGGGGTAAATCAAAGCATGTACAAGACTTGTATGCTGAAAACTACAAAATGCTGATGAAAAAAATCAAAGACCTAAATAAATGGAGAGACATACTGTGTTCATGGATTGGAAAATAGCTAAAACAAATTTAAAAAAAAAGAATAAAATGGGGGAAATCAGTCTACCTGATTTTAAGACCTATTACAGAGCTACAGTAATCAGTATTGTGTGCTATGGGTGGAGTAGCAGACACATAGATCAATAGAACAGAACAGAGAACCCAGAATTAGAGTCACACAAATATGCCCCATTGATTTTTTTTTTTAAAGATTTTATTTATTTATTTGACAGAGAGAGACACAGTGAGAGAGGGAACACAGCAGGGGAAGTGGGAGAGGGAGAAGCAGGCTCCCCGGCTGATCAGGGAGCCCGATGCAGGGCTCCATCCCAGGGCCCTGGGATCATGACCTGAGCCGAAGGCAGCTGCCCAAAGACTGAGCCACCAAGGCGCCCCGCCCAGTTGATTTTTAGTAAAGGGGCAAAAGCAATGAAATGAAGGATAGCCTTTTCAACAAATGGTACTAGAACAACTGTACATCCAAAAGAAAAAATTTAACCTCACTAAGTCTCTCATTTATATATGACTTATATAAAAATTAACTCAAAATGGATCAGGAACTTAAATGTGAAACATAAAATTATTACAATTTATAGTGACAGGGGCGCCTGGGTGGCTCAGTCATTAAATGTATGCCTTCGGCTCAGGTTATGATCCCCAGGTCCTAGGATCAAGCCCCACCATCGGGCTCCCTGCTCGGCCAGGAGACTGCTTCTCCCTCTCCCGCTCCCCCTGCTTGTGTTCCCTCTCTGGCTGTCTCTCTCTCTGTGTCAAATAAATAAATAAAATCTTAAAAAAAAAAAAAAATATATATATATATATATATATATAGTGACAACACCAAATGCTGGTATGTGGAAAAACTGGATCACTCAGATATTCCTAGTAGTAATATAAAATTGTGTGCTACTCCAGCAAACAGGTTGGCAGTATCTTAGAAAATTAAACATGCGGGGTGCCTGGGTGGCTCAGTTGTTAAGCATCTGCCTTTGGCTCAGGTCATGACCCAGGGTCCTGGGATCAAGCCCCGCATCGGGCTCCAGCCCTGAATCAGGCTCCCTGCTCAGCAGCAAGCCTACTTCTCCCTCTCCCACTCCACCTGCTTGTGTTCCCTCTCTTGCTCTGTCTCTGTCAAATAAATAAAATCTAAAAAAAGAAAAAGAAAATTAAACATGCAACTACCGTATGACCCAGTAATTGTATTCCTTGGCATTTATCACAGAGAAATAAAAACTTATGGTCACACAAAAACCTGTATGTGATTGTATATGGAAACTTTCTAATAGTCAAAAACTGGAAACAACCCAAATGTTCTTCAGTAGGTGAATGGTTAAACTGGTACACCAGTACCATGGAATACTACTCAGCAATAAAAAGGAATGAGTTATTGATGCACAAAAATTGCATAAATCTCTAGAGAATTATGCTGAAAGAAAAAAGCCAATTCCAAAAGGTTTTATATGATTTATATAACATTCATGAAATGACAAAATTAAAGAAATGGAGAATATTAGTGATTGCCAGGGGTTAAGGAGGGGATATAGGTAGGAGGGAAGTGAGTATTGCTATAAAAAGGCAAAATGAGAGACTTCTGTGATGGAAATGTTCTGTATCTTGACTGTATCATCAATATCTGGGTTGGGATAGTGTGATGTTTTGTAATATGTTAGTTACCACTGTGGAAAACTGGGTAAAGGGCACAAGGTATGTCTGCATTTTTCCCTACAACTGCACGTGAATCTACAATCTCAAAATAAAAAGTTTAATATAAAAAAAATGAAGTTGCCCAGCTGTCTACTCCCTGCCCAAGAACAACATTCAGTGGGCAGTGTAGGAAGTGTTAGCAAACGCTCAGAACTAGACTTCTTTCGGCTTCTCACTCAAAAAACAGCCTGAAAATATCCAAGAACTGGTAAGATAACTTTTGTGAAAACAGGTATTAAATGAAACACTGTTTTGCGGGAACTTAAAAAAAAAAATAAAAGGGCGATTACCCTAAAGATACAAACATAGGGATCCGAAGGGGCACCTGCACCCCAATGTTTATGATAGCCATGTAGATGATATATGCTATAGATATATGCTATAGATATATGCTATATATATCTATAGATATATGCTATAGATAGCATATAGATTGCTATATGATAGCAATGTAGATGATAGCCAAACTATGGAAAGAGCCCAGATGTCCATTGACAGATGAATGAAGAAGATGTGGTTCTCCTTCTTCCACTCCTCCTGCTTGTGTTCCATCTCTCACTGTCTATCAAATAAATAGATAAAATCTTAAAAAAAAAAAAGTGCATTATGGAACAACAGGCCTCTAGCTGAAATGACAGAAGTTCATCCGTAAGACCTTGATCCTTTTGAATTGTGTAGTACATTCACTGTACTTCAGGACACTGGTGTTTCTACACCTCACACCAAAAACGTTAACAGATCTGATTTTCTTATAAGAACCTTAGAAATTTGCATGTTCACTGATTGTGATGTCAAAATCCCGTTCTTTTTCCTATTCCTTTCATTTCTTCAGGTTAAAATTAATATATAATCACTTTTTAACTAGAGTTCCAGAAAGGCAGAAGATATGAAATCTTTAAATGTTAAGTTTCAGAGACTGGTAACACTGTGCTGACTCTACCCCACTTGCCCCTTAGTATACAACTCATGGTGACAAATATGGTTGTTATTGGGAAGTCTTTGATAACACACAGATGAGAAGTGCCCCAAATGTTCTTGGTATGAATCTTATTTAAAAATTATTTTCTTGGGGGGTGCCTGGGTGGCTCAGTCAGTTGAGTGTTGGACTCTTGGTTTTGGCTTGGGTCATGATTTTGGGGTCATGAGATCGAGCCCCGTACCTGGCTCCGTGCTGAGTGTGGAGTCTGCTTCAGATTCTCTCTCCCTCTGCCCCTACCCCTGCTTATGTGCATGCTCTCTCTAAAATAAATGGATAAATAAAATCTCTAAAAAAAAAAATTATTTTCTTGGTATTATTTTTAATATAGTCATTAATAGTATATATCTCTTCCTTTAAAGTTTATGAGTAATATTTCTTGAGAATTTGGAAAATAAAAGAGAAATAGTTCTATTCAATACAGCTGTTAA